GGGGATGGGCGCTCGCGCCCATGCTGAGGGGAAGCGCCGCAGACGGCTTTGGCTTTTCGAGATTAGGCTGCGCTAATTAAGGAAATATTTTAAGCTTAAAGGGTCTCCCGAGAAGAAACACATTAACTGGCTCGTAAAGGGGGCTGGGAAGCAACGCGGTGCCGGACTCTCAGATCGGCAAGCACAAAGGAAACGAGAGATAAAATGAATGTTGAGAGGAACTCGCAGGGGAAGCGCCGCAGACGGCTTTGGCTTTTCGAGATTAGGCTGCGCTAATTAAGGAAATATTTTAAGCTTAAAGGGTCTCCCGAGAAGAAACACATTAACTGGCTCGTAAAGGGGGCTGGGAAGCAACGCGGTGCCGGACTCTCAGATCGGCAAGCACAAAGGAAACGAGAGATAAAATGAATGTTGAGAGGAACTCGCTGTAGTAAACACCCGCTCGCACCTCTGGATTTCTAAGTATCCAATGTCACTCATCGCCCCTCCTGTACATCCAACGTCTCGCTAACGCTAGAAAGAAAGATATATATTTGTCGCGCTTGCAATGCTATTCCTGCTATGCTCTTTCAGCTTGCTGGGCATAAAAAAAAATCTAAAAGCAGATTTTGCTGTCTTTGTTCAGGTTAAATAGTACCTGACTTTGCAAATAGCAAGCTTTTACTTATAATTAGTGCAGTGCTTAGATAGCCTTTATTCTGCTTCCTTTGTTCTTTAAGTAATGCATCTGTGTAAATACCTCCAAGACTGTAGCTTTGCAGTGCACATATTTGTTGGGCAGGAGATGATCAGAACAACATGTGTGCAAAAGCCATGTCCTCAAAGCAATAAAACAAGTGTTGAAATCAAAGCAGTAATTACTATAAAGTAAAAAGATGTGATTTGCTAACTTAGCACATAATGTTCAAAATACAGAAATGAAACACGAATGTGAAAGACAAGAATGGGTTAACATTAAAAAAAAAAGTTGAAATTGCACTCCATGCCAAAACTGAGAAGTTTATCCACTTATTTGTTCCATTTAAGAGAGAAATTTCCTGAATTGCAAAGCAATTAATGAATAACAGTAATTTTCTTCCCCTAAGCCTGGGACACCAGGAAAATAATTTTTTGAGTTAACATCTCCAAAGAGATAAAACCCCAAATCATCAATATGACATGATGTATGGTGCAGCTGGATTGGGAGACGATGACAGCAGAAAGTGCTCCTAATGAAAGGGGCTGAGATGTACGTACATGTTTGGTTTATGGACACATTTCTTGAGGGATATTCCAGTAATATTGGTGCATACCACATACTCAGAAATCTGCATTTAGAAATGTAACAAGTAATTTGGCTACTTTCTCTACTTTCTTTTTTTCTTTTTTTTTTTTTTTCTCCTTGCTTTCTGTATTTATCTCAAAATGATGTGCTAGCTGGTACAGTAAACTGCAAGCACTGTGCAAGGTAGATACTGCTTCCTGATTTTTTTATTTTTTGGTTTAGTTTTAAAGTTGGAAACTATGCTTATAGAATTCTACAGACTTTTCCATCTGTTACTTTTTGTTTGTTTGTTTGTTTGTTTTTAAAGTGCTGTTCTCTGTTAGGCTCATTTTTAATATACCAGTGAAATAGAATTTCAATTTGGAATAGAATGTAAATGAATAGCATAAATTAGGTGAATATAAATGGGGAGCTGGTAGCACTAAGATAGTCAACACCAGAGACTAAAATAGTTTAAGCATGATGCCAGGGGAGGTTGTCACCCAAAGGCTCCTCTCCCTTTCAGCAAAGGAAGTCTGGGATGGGCTGCTTACCAGGCTGGTGACAGATAATGCTGTTTGAGCACAGTTTTTATTGACTGCAGCAGGGGTTGCACCTACATATTTAAATGTAAAATTTATCTGCGGAGCGCAGGTGGAGTTAGTCTGCAGTCCACCAAGGTTTGCTTTTGCCTTTGACATTTTGCTTTTGGCTTAGACTCTGAGCTGCAGAATGGAAGAGCTCTGCATTATTTCTTACCGCTGACCTGATCCTGCCTTCACTGACAGTCGCATGATAAGGAACAACTTCCATGGAAATGAGTGAAGTGAATTGGGATAAAGCCTCTGAGATTAACATCGGGCCCCAGTGATGTCAGAGCTGCCTAGGGGAAGGTTTGAGATCAGAGGACAGAGTAATTGCTGGAAAGTCCAGATTGGTAGGGAATTTACTTGCACATGTTCACAGCTTGAAGAATTTGTCTTTTATATAAATTGACAACAATAGGGTAAAGTTACACACAGTTGCTGTTTCTTTGTTACGGAGTTTAACTACCACTATAGATGCATCTATCACTTTGTTGTGTTACGTTGTTAGAGCGGTGCATATAAATAAAGGGGATAAATAACCTAATTTACTCTGAGTAAGAGTCACAGTATATTAAAAACTGTGACACAGAAAAAGCTTTTGCCTCTTCTGGAAAAAGTTTTACAACATTATCTTTGTAGCCATCATTTAAACTGGCAGGGTAGAGAACACAGAGCCCTCTAAAGCCCTGGGACAAACTCATTCAGCACTTTCAAAGTATGTCCAAGGCTAATATGGCTCCAGTGAAGTAAAAGAGATTATTTTCCACTGATTTTACCAAAGTAGCTTCACCCAAATAACTGTAGTTATACTTTAGAATTATTCTGGTTTTGAATAACAACAACAAAAAAGGTCCTCTTAAGGTTAGTCTTGTAAGGGATGGTATTTCTCCCACTTCTCAGGACCCCTCAGTTCCCTTCGCTGCTGTTAGTCCCTGAGGCGACGTGTTCAGCTGAGGTCTCCCTCTCTTTCCATAGCCTGGAGGAGTGCACAACGTCCTGGTTTGCAGCGAGAAGCAGAGAGCCAGTTCCCTGCAGCCTGCTCTCACTGAGCCTCTGGAGCCGGTGCTGCTCCTAATTCTTCCAAAGTGCTACCTCCAGATAAGGCTCCTGCAGCTGGGCTTGCTCTCCCCATTGCACTTCTACTGCTGCCAGTTGGTGCTGACCTACCTTGTGTTTCAACCCCCAAGCAGGTTTCTAATAAACCTGACTTACTGCTGTTGGTTCCTGTGCACTGCAGACACACTCGGCTGCTGCAGTTGTTCAGGCACAGGCACAAAATTAGGAGCTGAGCCTACAGAGCTCAATTAGCAAATCTCCCTTAGGAGAGATTGTGGCCTGGTTTCTTTTTCTCATATCATCTTGTGGGAGATGATTGGTTGAACTGCCTGCTCTCCAATGCAGGCTGTTTCTTTGCCCTTCAGAAATATCCTGATGAAATTCTCACCAGCGCAAGGGTAAAGCTGGCTCAGTTTTAGATGCGTAGGTGTGTCAGACTGGACTTGCAGTAGTTACTACCACCTGGCCAAAAACTACTAGTGTACAAATGTAGGTGTGTCAGGCTGGACTTGCAGTACCTGGCCAAAAACTACTAGTGTACAAAAACTGTCTAAGAACTCTATCTAAGAACTCTGTTTTTGTTTTCCTGCTAAAAAGAGAGTGGTAAAAGACAAGGGGAATGCACTTCCCAGCAGAGCACAGAGAGTCTCTGAGAGAAGTATGGATCCTTTTACAT